CCACTCTTTGCTCATGGATAGCCACTGTGCTGCGTGCCCTTGTGCTGGTCACCCCTTATTTTTATTTTTATTTTTTAAAGATTTATTTATTTATTTGAAAGGCAGAGTTACAGAGAGGCAGAGGCAGAGAGCGAGACAGAGAGAGAGAGAGAGAAAGAGAGAGAGGTCTTGCATCTGCTGGTTCACTCCCCAGATGGCTGCAATGGGCGGAGCTTAGCTGATCCAAAGCCAGGAGCCAGGAGCCAGGAGCTTCTTCCGGGTCTCCCACGTGGGTGCAGGGGCCCAAGCACTTGGGCCATCTTCCACTGCTTTCCCAGGACATAGCAGAGAGCTGGATTGGAAATGGAGCTGCCGGGACTCAAACCAGTGCCCATATGGGATGCTGGCACTGCAGGTGGCGGCTTTACCCACTATGCCACAGCACCGACCCCGGTCACCCCTTACTGTCAGGACATCAGTGACCTGGTCCAGGCCCACCCTTCGCTAACCCCTGTGCTAAAGGCTCTGAAGTCCTGAGGTTTGAGGGACACAGGTCAGTGGGAGTGGGGATGGGAACACGGGAGGGTTCTCTCCTGCTCCCGGTGCTGTGCTCGCGGCTCCGCATCCTACGTCTCATATTCTGGAAGGATCTGTCAGGACAGCTGACACTGACCCTGGCTGACCCTGTGCAGTCAGCGCCATGCAGGCGGTGCCGGCTGTCGGACTTCCCTCCGGAACCTGGGAACTTGAGACGGCATCGGGAGCAGGTGGGAGAGGCAGGGCAGCCGCTGTCCTTGCGCGTGCCTGGAGGAATTCTAAGGGTGGCGGCGGCCATTGCTGAGTGCCTGCTTCTGGCTGGGCCTGGGGCTTTAAGAACGTGACTCCCGGGACTGCACAGAGGGGACACAGTGGACTTGCAGGAGGAACTGCTTAGCCAAGTCTGCAGAACACGAGGAGCGTGTGTTCCCAATACTGCTCGAGAGAGCACTCTGCCCGGCAGACTTGGCCTTGAGGGGTCCCCTGGCAAGGCCTCGTTGCCAGGGGCCTGGGCACAGCTGCTGCGTGCCCAAGACCCAGCAGCCGTGCCGCCTGCCTCTTCTTGACCCAGGGCCTTGCTCCTTGGCGTCCTTCCCAACACGACCCCGCGGGCTGTGGCGGGAGAGAGGCTCTGGAGGCCCGTGAGGAGTCAGTCAGAGGAAGGGTTTGGAGCAGCCCCGTGGGTGCGGATGAGGGCCGCCGTGTGCCGGCTGCGTCCTGAGGAGGGGCAGGTGGGCACGTGCGTGTGGACATACACGTGCGTTGGGTTTGTGTTCACGTGTGTGTGTATGAGGGTGCTTAAGAAAGTCGTGGGAAATGCACGCTCTGAGAAAGCTCCCTGGATCTAAGACAGGCTTTGTCTTAGCAGCCTCGACGCCACGGACTTTGCGGTGCCCTTGTACGCACGCCTCTGGGGCAGGCAATGAGGTTTCCTAACACAGCATCCTCCGGGCCGGGCCTGTCCGTACCCCTCACGTATTATTTATTTACTTGAAAGGTAGAGTTACAGAGACAGAGACAGAGGCAGAGAGAGAGAGAGAGAGAGGTCTTCTGTCCGCTGGTTCACTCCCCAGATGGCCACAATGGTTGGAGCTGCACCGATCTGAAGCCAGGAGCCAGGAGCTTCCTCTGGGTCTCCTATGCGGTTGCAGGGGCCCAAGCACTTGGGCCATCTTCTCCTGCTTTCCCAGGTCATAGCAGAGAGCTGGATCCGAAGTGGAGCAGCCGGGACTTGAACAGGCGCCCACACGGGATGGCACTGCAGGTGGCGCTTTATTCGCTACGCCATGGCGCCGGCCTCTGTGCCCTCCTGATGAGGCTGTGATCGCAGGCTTTCCCGTGGAGGGACCTGGAGGGAGGCCCCAGCCACAGGTGGCTGCTGCCTAGGGTGACGTTTAATTCATGATCCAGACCGGCGCACCTTGGAGACAGGTGGTGTGGTCTGGTACGCGTAGGGAGGACGCCACCCGGGAAGGCACACTGGCCGCCGGCTGTGGAGTGAGGGGCGCTGCTTGGGGGCCATTGTGAGCGTACAGGTGAGAGTTCACTCATCATTTAGTTTTCCGTGAGTGGCAGGTTTCTCAGTGCCTGACCTGACGATGACGGTCACGGGCCATCAGCTCCGTGCTGGTCATCCACTCAGCTCACGCAGCGCTGTACCTCCCATCAGCTCCATGCTGGTCGTCCGCTCAGCTCACGCAGCGCTGTACCTCCCCGAGCGGGAGGCCGCATCGTCACCCGTGGTTTGCAGGCGGGCATTCTGGGCTCGCCGAGGCTGGGTGCTGGGAGTGCTGACAGAGCAGCGAGCCGGGGAGGCCGCACATCCACGCCGTTCCCCTGGCGAGGACCGGGCCCTTCTACTTCCCACACCGCTGCAGCGTGGAGGTGGCCTCCCAGCTGAGGGGGCCTAAGGACGGCGTTTCCTGCTGGGTCCGATGCAGCTGCGAGCAGAGGGCTGTGCCACTCCCAGAACCGGCAGAGCCGACCGCTACCCACCTGTTGCCCTCTGCGGCTGCCCGTGCTGCCCGTGCGGGAGCTTTGTCCTCCTCTCTTGTTTTCAGGCCGGCTGCTAACATGCACAGCAATCGGCAAATTCTAATGGTATTTATTTCGGAGCTGGTGCTAAATTATTCAGAGGCGGCGCGAATGGACCATCTCCAGCAGCCTGAACTTCCTGCTGGAACCCGCAGATGCCGTTTGTGACGCCTGCTAAGGTCTGCGGGAGACGGGGCCGTGGTGGGGGCGGTGCTCACGGCTGCTGCCTGGAGCTGCATCTCTGGACCTAGGCTGTCCCTAGTCCCCAGCCGGCAGGGTCGCTGGGCGTAGTGAACGCGGTCAGTCCCTGGCTGGGCAGCCTCTGGAGCCTTCCGTCGGTGCCCCCGTGGGTGAGCTGGAGGTACTGCAGCCCATTTGTGCGGCGATCCCGTGTGCGGTAGTGCACAGGACATGTGCACAGGGGTTCTCAGCACGATGGCTGAGCGGCGAGGGTGGTGTTTCCTAACAGGCGTCCCCCAGCCGTGCCTGCCCGCCGGCCTCTTACAGCGGCCCCACTGCTCCCCTCCTGGGAGCTCCCGGCCCCTTCTGAGAGGCTGTGACTCCAGGCCGTCTGTGGGAGGGTCCCAGCCACAGGTGGCTGCCGGCTGGGGGGCTGTGACTCGGGGCCACCAGGCCGAGCCAGCCGCGGTCTGGCACGAGTCCTGAGGACGGCCACCCGGGAGATCACGCCGGCTGTGCAGCGAGGTGCGTCACTTGTCCCGAGAACTTCTGTTTCCTTGCCTGTTAGACTGAAACCCTCCTCTGACTGGCCGGGATGGGCGAACAAAACTGCGGCCAGGCTCAGCTGCTGCACGGAAGTGTTCGGGATTGGCTCGCCTTGATTTTCCTAGCAGTGTGCACGGTACCCGCGGAGCAGCTTCTGAGGCTGCTCTGTGTCACTGGTCACTCCCGGGTCCCCAGCCGTGGGTTAAAGCTGCCTCCTCTCATCGCCTGCCGGTTGGTCGGGGACGTGGCCTCCCGGGCCCTGCTCCGCTCAGGTGCCCTGGTCTCTAGAGAGCTGTGTTTCTCGAAGCCGTGTTTCATCTGCTGGTCGTTCAGATGTCCCCCGATTTCCACGCCCACTGTGAGCTTTCAGCCCCGCTGAGGCCTCTGGAGTGGGATTTCTCCACCTCCCCCGGGAGGAGGCAGTGTTTGACTTCCTGGGGCCCTCACTCCGCGTGGGCACCTGTCCTACAGAAGGGTCTTCCCCGCCGCAGGTCCCCTGTGTTGGGGGCCTGTGCCCCTGGCAGGCAGGGCAAGCCCCGGGAAGCCACAGGCGTGACCTTCCGTGGAGCAGAGGCTTCGGGCCCCTCCTCGGTTGTGCGGCCGCCCTGTGTTTCACAGGGAGACAGGGTCCTTGCAGGCCACGCCTGCTCCTCGGTGGAGGGAGAAGGGGAGGCAGCGGGGCCCAGTGCCCGCTGAGCCCTGGCCGCAGCCTGCGTCTTCCTGATGCTCTCCTTGCTCCCCTCCTTGAATGCACGCCTTGCTCTGTGACCAGGCAGCTGCCCCAGTTTGAGAGCCCAAAGATGGGTTTGCAGGGTCCGTTTGCCACCATCACAAGGCTGGCGGTTCCTGGGGCCGGGTGAGTCAGCAGGGTCAGGCTCTCCCTGCCCAGAAGGCAGCACGTCCGCCCGGGGAGCCAGTCCCAGCCCCTGCCTCGCAGGAGGCGGGGGAACCACGGTGGCCTCTCTCTCCCACGCTGGCTCTGCCGTGCTCAGGACCCCTTTCCCGACACACACGCCCAGTGTTGGGGGGCAGGGTGCCAGGAAGAGAAGTAGACCCTAGAGTTTTTAGAGAACTTTGCACCCATGGTCACCTTCATAAACTCCTAGGGAGCCGGGACCCCGGATTAGATACCGGAGTGACCTGTGTTCTTGGAGGTGATGAGCCGGGTGCCACTCGGGCAGTCATCCTGGGGCACAGTGTGGCTCAGGTGTGAGCCCAGGGACACGGGACGTGAGGAGCTGCCCCCCTGGGCAGAGCAGAAGGGCCACGGGTGGCCTTCAGGGAGGAGGGGGGACGCCCCCTTGGGAAACTCGGGCAGAAGTCGCCCAGCCTGGTTTGTCAGCTAGCGAATTCCAGGTAATTTTTGTCCTCGTTCTAGCATGTTTTTATTGAAAACCGGGGTATGCCATGGGACGCCCCTGCAGGCCTCGGTCCCCCGCCCCCCAGTGACCGGCGTGTGCTGAAGCCCCCCTCAGAGTGGAGTCCAGCCCTCAGCCCTTGTGAAGCGTGTGGTTCTGGACGTGAGATGGAAGACGAGGTTGGCGTTGGGCGCTCACTGTGAAGCTGTTACTTATTTTTAACTCATAATGAGATTGAGTGGATCAAGCAGTTAGCAAGGCAGCGAGTAGCTGTGGGCCAGGCACGGGGCGGGGGTGGGGAATCACATGTGCATTTATTTTTAGACTCAGGATCTCACTTCTCACACTTTATTCCAGAAATACAGTGACAGAAAACTAGGAGCGCACGCACTCACGGGGTTATTATTAATGGCTGCTAACAGCGCGTCTTGATCGGAACGCGTCGGAAATGCTTAAACCCTGAACTCTCGGTGACGCTCCCCGTAGCGCGCCTGGTCGGTCGCTGCGGAAGGTGCTCGGGGCAGCGGAAGGAGCTCGCCGAGCCTTCTCTGTGCACGTGCGTCTGAGCACAGTGCAGAGGGCGCCGGCCAGGTCTCTCCAGCGGGGAGGTGGGGAAGTGGTGAACTGGGATTGTAGAGTCTGAGTGACAGGCCTGGGCTGTGGCCACAGTGACCACTGGCGTCAGAAGACGGATTTCGTGGATCCCTTGACAGAAGGACCGGAGACTCACTGCCTGTGGGGGGCCTGGACCAAGACAGCAGCAGGCCCGCCCTGGAATGAGCGCGAGCGCATCTGGGGAACCTTCCATGACGATGCCAGGGGACCGTCTGTGGTGATGGCCCGCCTGTGACAGCACGGTCCAGCAGGTGGTGACATCACGTGTCTGCGTGGTCCAGCACGTGGTGATGTCATGTGTCTGCGAGGTCCAGCACCTGGTGATGTCACATGTCTACATGGTCCAGCATGTGGTGATGTCACATGTCTGCGTGGTCCAGCAGGTGGTGACGTCACGTGTCCATGTGGTCCAGCACGTGGTGATGTCATGTGTCTGTGTCATGCACACGTGATGTCACGTGTCTGTGTGGTGCACACGTGATAATGTCACGTCTGCAGTCCAGCACGTGGTGGTGTCACGTGTCTGGTGCACACATGGTGATGTCATGTGTCTGCGAGGTCCAGCACCTGGTGATGTCATATGTCTACATGGTCCAGCAGGTGGTGATGTCACGTGTCTGTGGTGCACACGTGATGACGTCGTCTGTGCACAGTCCAGTACTTGGTGGTGTTGCACAGCAGCCGTGAGCCACGGGAGAGTGTGCAGCACCGAGTGACAGTGTGGCTGAGGCCCCGAGGGTTAAGTTCTAGCAGCTCCGGCTGTGTGGCTATGGGCTTCCGTGCTGGACAGCCCCGTTCTGGAGGGTCTCATCAGTTACAGGCGACACTGGGGACAGAGGAACAGGTTCAATGGCACCACAGCAAAGCTGGATGCAAGGCCTCTCTGTGGAAGCCACAGCACAGACTCTGCCTTCGTCAGCAGACAAGGCAGGTAGTCGGGGAACACAGAGCTTGTTAAAGACCAGTGACGTCACGCAGTCACAAGGTAGGACAGCACTGGGTCCTGCTGGAGCAGATAGACTCAGATGATGGGAGACTTGGACCCTCACTGATACTTTTACCGTGCTATAAAATTGTGCTTTTTAGCTGTTGTTGTGATACACTGATTTCTTACTTTATTAAAATACTGAGTTTATTTCTTATGTGTATTTTTGTGTCCCCATCACTTCTGTGTCTGCTGCTACTGTGCCC